AAAAAACTCAGCAATATTATTAAACAGATTAAACATTCCTTTAGAAATTTATCTTCCATACCTATCCACCATATAATTATATTGCTCTACCTGGAAATAGTACAACCATTCCTATTTATATTTTCAATAATATTATTGAAGAAGCCTCCTGCAACTCCAAGCAGCTCTAGCTCATATCTCAAGATATGAGCAAAGCATATGATTCTGTCAACCTAGAACTATTTCAAAGATCTCTTATACATATCAATATGCCTCCTAAACTCATACACATTCTTACCAACCTATTATCTGACTACTACAACAGAGTGATTACAAATCTAGGCCTTACAAATAAGGGTGTGGCAACTTAGTGAAGTTGGTAAGTTGTCACCCCTTCAAATGGCAGGTCTAGAGTTCAAATTCTACTAGCGCCGATTTTGAAAAATAAGATTTGTTTTGGTAACATTTATTCGACAATCGGTTGGGTGTACTACTTGTAACCTTGGTACCACCATCTTGAATGGGAGCTTTCGGGTGAAGTTGTGTGACATCATACAGACAAAGCCAAGGAACCGGAATAATTGAAACCCATTTGGAAAGACCCGAGCAAAGAAGTAGTGAAGATCTTTGACGATACTGCAGAAGCCAGAAGCCCGGAAACTGAAGATCGAAGAACCGGACAAATAACCCTAGGGCAAAAATGGTTCACCAATCTGGCTGCCGGAGTCGCACCAGAGGAAAAGGTTCTATGCTGCGAAATTAGGAATCAAAGGAAGGGAACTATCAGACACTTAAAGTCTAGGTATACCAATCTATCCGGGCTAACTGGTTTGGAAGTTTGGAAGGGATCGGTATAAGGACCAGAAGGAAGGTAGATGTAGGTATCGGGATTGGAACGAACCTTGTAAAGGCAGGGGAACCAGGAATTGTGCGGTTTAATGGTTAGCCCTGACTGCTAGTGTTGGTTTCAGCCATAGCAGACAGGTTCTCTGAACCTAATTTAGAAATGTGTGGGACATAGAAGAATTAGGAGGCAACTACTACACCCACCTGTGGGGACTCTAGAGAAACCAATGGGATAACCAAGCTCAGGTAAGTGAGTGGAGGCACTTCGGTATAAAGGTACCTGGCTTAGAATAATTGGTGGGTATGTACGATCAGAGGGTTTAAATAGATAATCCCCTAGTCAGATTATAGGCATGGCATCTAGTGTAGAACCTTCGGGTGGACTACTTAAATAGGCAATCAAAAGTTGTACATGTGGCTAGTTGTACTCTTGTTGTAATACTAAATGTAAGATCTACGTGGTCAACAGTTAAACGTCAATAAAGCTCGGTCCCGAAGGACACCTTAAAAATAAAAAAAAAATAAAAAAAATGTCACAGAAGAGTTTATCAAACCAAATGGCATCACTACAAACTCATAAAAGCCAAATTTCATCATAAATGCTGATCACAGTGGTCTATTCTAACTTGCTAGAAGCCACTTGCAAGATCCAACGTCATATATCATATCAAATTCTTCAAGACTCCTAACAACATATTTATTCAGAGAAGAAAGTAACTATCATGTTTTGTTCTTTTATTTAACTTTCTAAAATTGATGCAAAATCATAATTTTCTGTTTTTCTTCTTTACAAGCACAACTGGAATGCCCAAAAACTATTCAAAAATTTTATCAAGCTAGTTTCTTCTATATGCCAAATTTCTTGGCCAATAAACTCATATTTGATTTGAAAAATAGGATAGAATTGTTGCTTTATAAAAGAATCTTCTTCTATATAGACTTCATGCTGCATGACCAACATATGACCCAACTCATGTAATTCATATGCAAAAAAATCCTGTTATCTTTAAACATTTCCAGCATTTGTTAATTTTGCTTGGCAGTTATTTCACTAATGTTTAATACACAGGTTAAATTCTTAGCATCACTTAGAAGGCATATAGCCCAATTATCCTTATGTTATTGTTTAACAGCACAATCAACATATCGTATCTTTTCTTCAAACACAAACTGCAAACTTTATCAAACATCTTTACAAGGCAAAATTCATGGAAGAAATACTTCTGGTTGATTAAAGCTTCATTATTATTAGTATCTTCTTCATCACTATTATTAGAGCTACTATCATCTGTATTATCATCGTCAACTGGTTCAACTAATGTTTACTCAGCCTTTTCTTTTGTAGGTTCAATATTTATATCCTTCACTTGAACTCGATCTCTGATATATGCCAGTTTACAATATTCGGTCAGAATCTTTATTTCTTTATCATTATCATAATTGTTAATTCACAAGATTCTCAGTCAAGTTTTGTCCTTGCTTTCTTTATCTAATTATTTTTAACAATAGCAGCATAATTCCTAGCATCTGTTACTATGGCATTTGAAGTAATAGTTACTCCACCCACAGTTATAGAGAAATGATCGACTTCTCTAAGAGGCCGTTTTTGTTCACTGTAAATTCTAGTCATCAACATGGTTGAAGGATGATTGGTTGCAATTTCAGCCTCTTTTAAAAATCCTGTAGAGACAACACAACTCAAAGAACCACTATCCAAAATTAAGATGATTGGCATATCGTTTACACAGGCTTTACAATATATGGACATCATATACTCATTATTTATTCAATCTAACTGAATATTAACAAACTTTGATTTGGCAACTTTTCCAAAGCACAATATCTTGAGAACTTCTTTTCTAACAACTGTCACAGCTTAAAACAACTAGATATAGGTTATATTCACTTTTTTGTTTTGCAAATTTGACATAATTGAATAGAGCTAAACTCCAGTTAATATTAGCAGGTTTACAGACTTGGTCCTTTTCTTTTTTTCAACCTTTGCCATAATATTTATATGATCTGTCTTGTCAACCTTCGCCTTCTTATTTATATAATCTGTTTTTCTAACTACTTCAGTTTGAGGTGAGGCTTTGGCTTTGTTAGAATGATCGTCATCCTTTCATTATCATTTTGTCATATAGGCTGATTTGATCTTTTTTATTAAGAGATTTTTAGACATCAATACACACTCACTCTTAAAAGGTGTGTCATTTAGTTTAAATGCCCAAACCTATCTTCCATTTGGGCTATCATAGTCTAAGCTCTAGAATTGTCATTTGCTAAAGTATTATCACTATTTCCACTACGACCACAATTATCATAATTCATGGCTTGCAGAGCATTTCTAGGATCATCACTACACCAAACTACATTTAGGCACTCTCTTGTATAATAACTTATTGTTAATATGTGAAACAGGTAGATCTATGGTTACTTCATTCTCTACAGTTCTTGTTTATTAGGGGTGGTTATTATTATTAGTATTATTAGCAGCATCACTACTTCTTGTAACAAAGAGATTATCTAATTTATAGCATTTGGCATATCATTTGACTGCAAATTTACTATGGTTATGACTAAAATAGTGTCAATTGTGGTGCTGACAATTGAGGTTGTAAAGCTTGCTATATTGGTAGGGCCTATGGTTGTTGAGAATAAGATTGTTGAGCCAAGGTCCTGATGTAGTATTACAGACTGCCGCAGGTCTACACATAGCCAAGCCTCTTGCAAACATTATCTTACACATTTGTGCTCTATCAATCACTTCTTGTAAAGTGCTAGACATGAACAGGCTAAGGGTCATAGACAAATCAGAACAGTGCCTTTGCACAAATATTTGTGCTTTCACTATCTCTAGGTATTGGTTATCTACTTTCATGACTTTATGAAACAAGGTCAACATCTCTGTTATATACTGGCTAACCATTTTTTCAACTCGTTGCTTCCTCGACAAAAGTTCAGCCTTTCAACATATTATTATAGCATATGTACAAAAATTTAACAAAAATTGATATACAAAGCTTTGGTTAGGGTTGAATTCATTATTTCAGTATTATAAGCCAGTCTTTTTAGCCTTTGACTTTCCACCAAAAAGCTATAAGTCCAGAGAAATAAGTATTAATAACTAAAAGTCATCATGTTCCCACTATGTTGTTAGCTTCAAATGCTCTATAAACAGCTTCCAACTACTCTATATGGTCTTGATTATCACCTATAAAGACTGATATATGCACAAAGTAGTGTTTTTTTCAGCTCAGGTTGGGCTACTTGTTGCCTTGATATAAGGTTCGTCATATGCTGAAGAAGTTGATTTCAAGATAGTTGAACTTGGGTTTGGTCTATCAGAAGATCAAGAATATCTAACAGGGTAGGGTCTTCTAACAGATTATCATGTTGCATTGTTGCTGCATATCCTTGTTTTCTATTATCATTTGTCTAATTTATTAGAATTCCTAATGATTTATATTATTTATTGTATTATAAGAATAATATATTTACACTGTCCTACATACCTATTCAGCAGAAATTAACTTATGGCCATCATCATACAAAGCTGAACTCCTAGCAATACTC